GATGCTCTTCATTTTTACTCCGCAGTTAACAAGTTAGCTTCAGTTCTTGGGTATCTCTTCAAGTAGAAGGACTGAGGTTTGGGTTCGCATAAAAGCTACTGAAAGAAAATCTCGCGAGAAAAAATGAGCATCAACGGTCTTTCATTCCTCGGTTAGATGTCAATAAGGATTTACAGAGATCTAGAAGCTGCACCACGAAGACAAGTATCCCCACCAAGGTGTCGCAAAGATTTTGCAGAAACACCGTAAAATTGCATCCTGCCGACGTCAGAGAAGAAATGCCCATTACATTAGGTTCTCTTCTAGGAAGACCCGCCTGCTGAACTCACGAGAAGACGCCTCAATCAAGCTGTTACGTAGGCAAAACGAGTTCGAATATTATACTCGCAATACCGATATAAATCCGAAGAAGGAAGCGTAGGTTGCCGGTTTAAACTGCCTTTACGTCTTAACTTGCTCCTACGATGTAGGTTAGATCGGTCGCGTGAATTAAAGCCTATTCCAAAATTACCCGTGATCACCTTCCAGCATGGCTGAGCAAAAGCAAAATTAAGAGTGCAGGCCATACTATACTTGCACTCATAGAGGTAAGCCGGTTTATTATTAACACTTCTCTGGTAATACAGATGGCGTCGCGCTACCGTCCAACAGAGGTAAGCATACCATTTTCTTCGAATCAGCATTCAACGCTGCCCTAGCCTTAACTCTTACCCTAAGATGACCACTAAGTTAAATACCCTAAATAAAAGGTCTCCAGAGTAGCGGGACGCATATTTCAGCGTCCTACTTGTATGCATGGCTCCAGTTCTCGAGTGTCGTCCAACCAAACCGTTCGTGTACTTTACATGATCCCACCCGACCACCTAAATCTACTAGAACGACATCTTTTATAATACAGTTGAGTGCTTATGTGTTACACAATGGACGTAATGGAGGATAGTCTGACTGAGTTGTGATATTCGACGGACGAGGCTGAAAATACCACCACTGCGCTCAGGAATATAAGTGCTTTACTAATCATTGCTTGCAATATTGCAATTTCGATTTTCGTATATTCTGCATAAGGAAAGCTGAACAGCCCAAAGGCTTTATACAATTCCAAAAGTTTTGCAACCAGGCTTTCGGCTGAAAAAATTATCTTATAGTTAAATCGTGCAGGACTAAAACTCAAAATGACTGTTAAGCACATTACCTAACAAAGATACAAATGCGCGGAGCTTCATTGAAGCGCAATTTCGATAACCGAAAAGCCATAAAACGATCTATGTCTGTCATGCAAACACCCAGGCCGTCCTGTTGAAAGAAGCATAATAGCGAGCTATCATGGACAAAAATATTTTACATTATGTGTTGCTAAAATTGGGCAACTGCACAAACAAGACTTAAAATCAACAATTTAACGAACTTTAAAAGTCTCACCCCAACACCTAGTGTGTCCGCATTTTATGGTTAGAGCAAAAGGAAAGAAGTTAACGTCATTACACATCTAATGTTAAGTTTGCTTGTATATCCCGGACCTGATGTCCTACTGTGTTCGAAAACAACTTTTAAGTTGCACATTTCCATGCTTTGCTGTGGCTCAGTGACCGCGCTTTTCTACTTTGAAAAGAACCTCATAGCTCACTAGACATCAACAGCTTAGCTGCAATTTTCAAAACCGTCTTGTCTGACTTCAAGCTTTGGGAAATGTACATTTTTTTCATTAAGTAGAGAGCCTGCAGAACCGCATCTTTTTCAGATTGAGTAGCATTTGGTCTGATGAGACGACTGCATTAGGGAGCCAAAAAAATTACCATTTATAGCCAATACAAGTGAACATGCAAGTCCCATGAAGTAATTGAGAAGAAGACGACTCGATCAATCGAGCGACCTAAATTCTCATTTTCATTACCGAAGACAACAGAGTTTGACAGTTCCATAGGTATTAATCAGACTGAAAGCGCATTAAACATAGACTATATCCTAAAACTTGTCTTACGGAAATAGCACTGAGGTCTGAGCATCGATCTGGATTTTAGACGAAGTGAAATTTGACGAAAACTTCCAGTTTGAAAAGATACGTTTAACATATTTACTGAAACCGAACCAACCGTTATTGGCTTTAAGTATTTAACGAATAGCTATGACTGAATGCTAACGATTTGCAGGAAACCTCCAATTGATAAATCAGATTTTTTGGTTCAAAATGAAGTACGTCCGGTGTCACCTAAATTAGGTATTTCCTCATTCTCTCGAATAAAAATGGCTCAAACTGGCAAGCATTGAAAATTCTGTAAGAAAGTGTTATTCAAGATGTGTTTTATGTTTACTCCATGGTTGTGGGCATGATTGTATTAAGAGTGGAACAGTGAAATATGGATTGTTTAGACTAACTGTCTTCCAGACAATTTAGGGGAAGTATAAAGAGCGCACTCCCGTGAAAGTACACAAAGAACAGATTCTACGTCTAAAGGTTAGGGGGTAGAACTCCAAGATCAATCAACTGTCTGCACACCTCAGCTTCCTGCTCGTTGTCAAATTTTCGTTCAGCGTCCCAGTCCTTTATCAAGCTTTCGGACAGCTTTGAAGCAAAATCGGTAAGCATTCCTTCGTAATGCAGACGTGATTCGATCATAGCATCTCGCAATTGCCGGAATTCAGATTCCTTAGCCTCCAAGGCTTCTTTAGCAGTTAATTTCGCTGACTCAAGCTCCTCTTTCAATTGGTCCCTCTCTTCCGTCAGTTTTGCATTTAGCGCAGTGAGTTCTTTGTTCTTCTCGATAAACTTTTGAGCGGTTTTTTCTTGTTGTAGGGCCATAAAAGCGGAAACTTGTTTGGATTCTTCGGTTGAATTTTCAAATTTTTGCTCAAAACTTGCCTGACGTGCCAGTGCATTTTCGCAGTTCACCTGAGCTTCTACGGTCTTCACTCGTTCATGATTAATTTGAACTTGTAGTTCGTTGGCCTGCCTTTTTACTTTCACGAGCTCCTGTTTGACGGGGTCATCAGCCGATGCCTGTGACTTCTTTCTGGCTCCTCCCTTGACGCTGCCTTTCTTCTTTGGAGGCATTTTGGAGGACCAAACTTATCTGAATCTGCAATATTTATCATCGGCGTCAAAATGTATCTCAATTTAAAAGCATGCTCTAAACTGCAACTAACTATAAAACAATATACTCTTCATAAATATGGTAAGCGGTATTAAAAAAGGGCCTAGGGTAAATTGCCCAAGAATATGCAAATTTCTCAAAATAAATGTCTGCGACAATTATAGCAACTTGAATCGATGATGTGGCAAAAAATTCAAAGGTTTCTTTAGTTTATTAAGGAGGCAATTCTTGTCAAATAAAGTAACAGAAAAATGCAATATAACTCTTAACTGATTAAAATTGATTTCCTGTGAATGTGGATTGAGGGTAACATATGCGAAGTTACTGGCTTTCTAAGTGCATGGGTTCAGTCAAAATGTAGGTGGAAATTCACGGATTTATTTTCAGTGAATGTATCTTACTTTTAAAACAACAGTAAATTGAAAATGAGATTTACAGAGCTAAAGGTATACAAAAGAGGGAATATTTTTTATCCCGGTGCACTACGTACAACATGAGCTAAGTACTTTTTCGGTCACATATTTCCAGGGCCGTATGGCAAGTTCAAGTTATGGTGAAGCACATGTTAAGCATAAATGAGTTAATATTTTGCTGCATGTTGAATGCCCAATTCAGTTTCGATTGCCAACTTGACTACTTGATCGATTAAGTAGTAAGCTGAGTGCTAAATGGTCAGTTTAATTCTGTACCTAAGCATCATAATTCTCACAGTCGATATGTCTAACGATATTTTTACCATGTCGGAGAAGCAAAACTTGTAAAACCTTCTAAATAAAACGAATGAGTGTTAAGAAACATTATTTATAACTATTCAGTTGACCCAATTGTGAAAAACTCGCGGCCTCGATGGGAGTCGAACCCACATAGCCAGGAAGGCTTTTGCGCAGCCTACGGCTCACAGTGAGACGTAAATTAAATCACTGATCGTATGGAATTTTCCATGACCCATACAGCAAGCTGATTGTCCAAGCAGGATTTTCTAGGCAACTATCTAGAATCGACCAGAATGACTACTAAGCTAACTTAATTATTAGGGGGGAGGTTGACAGATTTTAACTGGCTTATTCAAATCTGCTAAACCACTCCCCTAATAATTTTTGACTATGTAAAGACAGAATAGGATTACCTGCACATTTACGACGTCCTGAAACTCACAAAGTATATTTCATCTTTTGAAAAAATGGCCAGCGCAACACACATGCGCATGGCTCCAATTATCCTACCATTACGGAATTTGAAACGTCAGGAAAATAAAACTCTTGGTCCAGTGGTCGCATCTTCTTCTTCTGAACACAATTTTCCATTCACAAACGAAGATAAGTCAGCATCTACGATAAGGAGAATGCACTCCGGATATACTTAAATATTACGGCAATTTAGTTTAAATTTTGTGTGAAAATGGCTTTTTCAATATAATAATATCGTAAAGTGTTTAATAACATCTGAAAAAAAGTGTGTATTGACGGCCGAAATCAAGGACAGATTTATTATAGTGAATTCTTACAACGTTGACTAAGCTCTGCAACTGTGATTGCCAAGATAAAATAAATGTTTCTTACAATTTTTCTCTTCATCTTAAACCTAATTTCATGCCACCTTTCCATACTTCCTCAACATCAGGTGAATCAGATTGCGGTGACTGAATGATAAGACATACTTTTAAAAGGATCTGAAGGAATACCACTCTGACTGACTAAATATAAATATTGACAAGTGTTTTTCACGGGCAGTTTGTTTAGTTGGTTGCCAGCAGCACCAAGATAGGTATTCACCAATCACTTCAAACAATCTGTAACTTATCTGTGGTTTCTATAGTCCTCTGACCAGCAGCTACTTGCGAAGGTAAGACCTATAGTCACTTGTTTGGCCAGCCCAAACTTTTAATCGTAGTTCTGAGCTCACAATATTATTTTTCACATCCTGCGCCTTGGCTACAGCGAAATTCTCTATCGTACTTTCCATTCATGCCTTGGGATTATCTGTAGTGGCCCGTTACTGCATATTGCTCTACCATTCTATGAATGAA